TCCTTTAGCAGTTACTAAAAGCAGTAGGTGGGGCTTGCTTGGTGGCTCAGTTGTAAAGAATCTGCCTGCAATGCAGGAGACCCAAATTTGATCCTTGGGTCAGGAAGATCCCCTTGGGAAGGGAATGGTTACCCACTCCAGTATTATTGCCTGGATAATTCCATGAACTGAGGAGCCTGGTGGGCTATAGTCCATGGGGTCACAAGAGTCAGACATGACTGAGTGACTAACACTTTCACTTTGGAACCACCAGCACCTCCCCCCCATGAGACCTAAATGCACAGTCGTTCTGAATTCATTGCAATTGTATTAACATCACTAACCCAATAATCTGGGCATCTCTGGCTGATATAGGCATGGGTTCCTGTGCAGAGTGCCCAGAAATCTAGTCTGCTGCCAGGCCCAGGTGATGCAGAGGCAGGTTTTCTGTCCCAGTTCATGTCTCTTCATTTATTATGTGCAAATGTTCTTTCTTATTGTTTTCCTAGGTCTCCATTTGGTTACAGCTGTAATTCTTGGTATTTTTATTAACCCATTCCCTCTTCTGATGAACACAAGAATGTCATCAGAGCTTCTGTTACACCATTCCATGGGCATGCCTACCTTTCTAGAATGAGCATCCCAGGGTCTTAGACACCAAGGCAACGAGGCCAAGGTCATGACTCAAGCCTAGTACCAGGCAGTTGTTTTCCCCCTGTTCCGTATGAAGGCCAAAACTTGCCCTGATGTGCTCTCCAAAGGATGCCTTGTGTCAGCAGGTATCCCAGACCCGGAAGAAATGGATGCGGGTAACCGAATCACTTTTAAAAGTGGAGGAACTCACACTGCATTCTGTGTATTGTGTATGCATACAGTTTTATTCATTTGTGGTCCAGAATGGAAGAGCAAATTCATTTGGAATCTATCTGTATATCATTCTATAGATCAACATGGTTGTTTATTCAACAAGCTTATTTGGATATTTATTCTATGTCAGATTCTGTACTTGGTGCTGAAATTCTGTGATAAGAAGACACAGCATGAGCCTTCAGCGAAATCATTGTAGAGGCAAAGTGGGAGGAAGTGGGAGGAAGTAGGGCAAGGTGGCTCTCTTGTGGGTGGATTAGAAAAGATTTCTGGAGGGAGAGCATCTAAGCTAGAATTTAGCGATGCCTCTGAGTATGTGTGCCTGGCAAAGTGGAGCTAGGCAGGCAGATGGGAACTGCCTGAGCCAAGTCATGGAGGCGTGACGTGCGGGGTAAGTTTAAACAGTGAGTAGCCAGCTCTTGCTGGAGTACACATCCTGCAGAAGATTGTGTCAGAAAGGGAGAGCAATGGCTCGGTGTGCACAGGTTTGGTTATTGTTCATTTAGTCAAGGAATATTTATTGACTCCTTACTGAACACGAGGATTTAGACCAGGAGGTAGGAACTTAGGGTGAGAGAGGAGTAGATAAGACATGAATGTGCATAACTATCCTGTAAAGTAAGATACTTTCCGCAAGGGAGGACAGCCTCCGAAGAGTCTTTTATTCATTCATGTTCATCAGTAACCAAGGATTGAGTACTAAAGGAGCACCCACCAACACAAATGATAAGACATGTTTCTTAAATAGAAGGAGATGGCATTCTAGTAGGATAAACAGACACATAAATAGAACATGATATTATAATATATTCGATGACCAACATAATCACGTTTACTGACAGCTTACTAAGTTCCTGTCACAGATCTAAGTGCTGTATGTTGATTGGTTGATCTTCACACAAAAAGTAGGTATGATTATTGTCTACATTTCACAAATGGCAGTCAGGACCAGAGAGATTACTTGCTCAGTCAAGGTCACTCAGCTAAGATTAAAATCCAGGCAGTTTGACTCCACATTCTTAGCCATTGTTCTAAAGAACTATAGAAGCATGGAAGAGAAATGCATAAGCCAGCTTGGAAGAGGCCAGGGAAAACAGATTCTTCTATTCCACCATTCATTATGTCCTCTCAAAGTCCCAAGGGAATATAAAGATAGCTTATAGAATCTTAGGCCAAATTCATTGTACTTACCAGATTGTATACCATCTAGAGTTTAAGCTCAAAAGACTAAACTTTTTCTCCCAAAGTTTATGTAGCTTACATTTCCTATTTAAATTACTGTATTTTTTCCAATCCCCTCTATCTCCATAAATACCAAACCTCATTATATGCTTCCAAGGTCTTTATCAGGAACAGTGTCAAGTTTACAGGGAAGCTTCTAATACTTGTTTTCGGGGGACCTCTTGGGGCTCCCAGTAGTTTATGCTACCTAATACCTTTTGGATAGCAATGTGAAGATTCCTGGCTGGATTTGTGTACTGCTGATTCATTACATATCAGTTCCAGTGTTCTGCTTGCAAAATGAAGAAACTGGAATTGTATTTCTCATTCAAATTACTGTAAGTTTTCCAGCTTCCACTTAACTCAGACCCCTCCATCCTCATAACCACCATGGACATTAGATTGGCAAATAACAAAAGTGGGAGTGTTGTGAAAAATTGTAACTCTAATTATTTTGTTAAAAACCTCATCAAAAATGGTGGTGAGAAAGTCAAATGAGAGTGCAGAATTCTTGGAGAAGGACGTCCAGGATGAGGAGATGTGTGTCAGTTAAGACAGCCTTTGTCTGCATAACAGAACCCAACTAGAACAACATAAGCAAGTAAAGGATATTCTCTTATAACATAACCAATCCTGTCAGGCCCCTTCTTTTCTCCTGTTCTGCTGTTTCATTTGTAAGATTACTGGTATACTTTCAGGTATCAAGCCATGTTCATGACAACAATAAGGGAAAAGGGCGAATCTAGCCTCCTTTGTCCCCTTTGAAAAATTTTCCCAAGAGCTACACCCTGAAACTTCGGTTTAAATCTCATTGGCCAAATTTGTGTCACATAGCCTCTGCTAGCTGCAAGGGAATCAGGGCTTGTCAGTGCATTAACTCGGCACCTGGCACCCCTGACAAGCAGTGTTTTGACAAGGGTAGGCACATTGGCTTGATAGCTAGCAGTTCTGCAACTCTATTCTAAAATTTTCCAATTTAAAAAAAAAAAGGAACAGAGAGAGGCTAGTCAAAATAAATTTTTAAACCCTAGGAAATGCAGCTAATTGAATAAATCTGAGTCTGATTTTATCTAAGTAATTTCCTTTCAAGTTCCTTAGATAATCCATGGCCCTAAATCTCATGAGATGAATAGGAGCTAGAGGTTTGGAGAGGGCAGAGAGAGTACAAAGCATTCCTAGTTAAGTCACTGACATGTGAAGCATTTTGTGTGGGAAATCACAATCCATTCCCAGAGAAGAAATGGCAAAGTAAAGAGTATTAGGAAGGTTACTGGGCCAGTTCATGGAAGGCTTGTATGGATTCTTTAAAAACATGTTTATCTGAAGCTAGGAGGGACTAGGGCCAGACTTATATTTTGGATAACTTGCATTTAGTGACTGGGTGTGGGATGGGACCAAAATGATGGAGCAGAAGGTGAAGATAAAAGTGATGAGACAGCTGTGTTAATACAGATGGAAGCCATTGAGGACCTGGTCTAGGGGATGCCAGACAGCACACAAATATGAAGAAATATTTCTTTGAGCATCAGAGGAGACTTCTTAGAGGAAGCAGGTTTTTAAAACTGACAGTTAACTTTCTTTTATGCCTCTGTCATCTGTCTGCAGAATCTGAGGCATTCTTACCTCACAGATTCTGTAGCAATTTAAAACCGCAAATGCAGAGGTCCACCTTCAGACCTACTGGATCAGAAGCCAAGAGTTAGGACTTGGGGATGGGTAATAAAATAAATTCCACTGGCTATTCTAATACCAGGCTTTGGTCAACAGCATGTTAGGCCTGACAGGACATGAGCAGGACCCCAGCAGCAGATATATTGATAGGAAGAAGAGGATGAGAGCCAAGAATATTCAGTTATGAGACAAGAGATGAAAGTACAGGCAGAAAGGGCGTCAATCCTGCAAAAAAGTCAGCAGTGTGGCACTTGGCTACAAGGCATTGAGGACTCATGCTATAGGCAGGTGGAAAGTGGAAGGATCAGAGGAGGGACTGGCCTAGGGAGCCTCAAGGGGCTCCAGGCAAGGCCTCTTTGTTGGAGGAGAAGAGCTGCATGGCAATGACCCAAATCATATCCAAAGGAATATGACAGACCCAGACTCCAAACATTCAAGGCAAATTCATAGCTATACTTTTTGTTGGAGACAAAATTCCTCTATATATAAAGTAAATGATGTGCTAAACTATTTGATTAAAAAGGGAATTTAGAGATTACATAGGTTGGTAAGTAGAGGGAATTGCATTTTCTCATCCTCAGAATAGACTAAAGGACTATCTGAACAGCTCTGATGCGGAAACTGTGAAAATCCCTACAATTGAATGCTGTCATTCCTTACTCCTTTTGTTCCTTAGAAATCACTGATCATACGCCTAGTGGTTTTGCGGCTACTCCGCACTGTGTCTGATGTCAATCATTTATTCTGCGCACCTCCGACAGACAGGAAGTTTCATGAAATAGGGTAGAAGAAAGGAAAAGGTAGATAGGCCTGTTGGCTAAGCTTTTCCAGCAGCAGTTGCCATTTTTCCCTGGGAAAAATAAAAGTGTTGCCTTTAAACAACGAGCCTCCGATATCTAAGGGGGTGTGTGGTGGTACACGTGCATCCTGTTCCCTCTGAGGCCATATGAGTAACTTGCAAAGACTCTTTCTCCTAGTGTCCTCCTGAGTCAGAACACATCTGGTATATTTGTGTTGACACTTCCAGGTAAACTCTTCTGCTTTGGATTAGTCAAAAACCATTAACAGTCAGTAAGACTCAAAAAGGTGTCAAACATGGGGTGTGGGGGTCATCACAGCCCTCCATGCCTGGAGTGGCCTCCTAAGAAAGCCACCATTAATCAAGCTGCCAGCAGTCACTTCTGAGTACCCAGGGTTGGTCTGAGTGATACCACTCCCCGTATGTCAGCTATAAGCACTCCCCTTCCATCTCCTGAACACAGGTTCTACGAGCACAGGAGGAGTTCTGTGGTGCTCAACTTACCTGGCCTTGAGGTATTCCCCGGGGACCTTCTGGTGTCAGCTGGAGCCGCGGACTACCTGTGCCATCCACTTCTGCTGCTGAATTCAGGTCCTGTCCGTTCAACTTTTATTACATGCCCGCTATGGGATGGATGTTATAATAAGCAGAGGATATTTACAGAATATTTAATGACTACAAGAACATGCACACTAACAAGTTAGATAATCTCACCAGCTAGGACAAGCATCAGCCGTGAATTATGGGAACCAACTGAATTGGGCGTCCCACTTAGAGAGATGGATAAGTTATGGACCTCCCTCAAAAGGTCCTCTTGTCAAATAATATACCTCATGTGCAGGACCTGGAACAGGTGTACCAAGTGATGGTCACCTTCCTGGAGCAGGATGCCCTGTCTGGGCTGGTGGGCAGCATCCCTACCATTGCTGTCATCCACTCCCTGCTCCTGGCCTTCAGCCTCAGACCAGTGTCTCCAACGAGGGTGGTACCCGTGGAGACAGAGGCCCTGGTGACAGCAGATTTCTGTTAGAGCAGATTAGAAGGAGGCAGCCTTAAGGGTGAATCTTCGCATTTTGAAGTCAGTTGTGGAAAAAAAGAACAGTTGCAGTGTTCGGGACACATTCCCATGGTCCCAGTGGTAGCCATTCAGAGCTAAAAGGAGACTTGAATATTATCATTCACCCTGCTAGTTTTTAAACTGGCTTTGTTCTTAGCAGAGCCCTTTTTTTACAGAAGAGTCCTTACCTGGAAATCCAGTCCACAAAACAGATCCAGATGGGGTTTCAGTGCTTGAAAATGGGGTGAGTCCCAAAGACTCACCTCCAAGGCATTCCCCCTGAAGCACAGGGCCACCTGTGGCAGCATCCTTGGGAAACCACCCAGCTCTTTCCTCATGCCCATGTGTGTGCCAGGCGAGACCCGGCAAGGAAGGGTGAGCTGGTTGTGGTGCCCGCTGGTGGTGGAGGAATGGGATTCAGACTCTTGACTGCTGGCTAGCCCAGTGTGCTGTCCACCAGCCTGCACCAGCCACCCGTTGTACAGGCAGCCGTAGTCTTATGTGAGCAACTCAGCCGTAAGTGAATGAAGTGTTAATGACATTTGTATAGCCCTTCAGTCTTTGTAAACCCCTTTCACATCTACTGTCTTAGATAACACAACAATGCAAGTGACCATCTGTCTCATAGGATACGACCATCCAAATGAACACACAAAAAGGGATTCAGTGAACTCAAGGGACTCAAGGCCGGGCCTCTTGACATTAAAGCTAGTTCTAATCACATTGTAGCCTTAAGAGTTAGACCATGTTCTGTAATGCTTTGCAAATGCTCTAAACTGGGTAACAACTAAATCAGTACCTGCCAGATGAAGAGTTTCAGCATTGTCTGAAAAATTCTGGGGTCCTATGCCAGACCTTCTGAACTAGAAACTCTGGGAATGGGGCCCAGCAGTATGTTTTTTAGTAAGCCCCCAGGTGATTCTTTTGCCAGCTAAAGGTTGAGATCCACTATGCTGAGGAACAAGGTCACAATTGCTGCATGATATTCTTTGTTCTTTGCTAGGCGGGTGTGCCTGGCATCACAGTAGATGCCACATAATGAAAGATACGGAACATTCTTCACCATATCCCTCCATGCCCTCGTCTCCAGGAGTTTAGAATAGTGTCCTCATGTCCCCAAATCATGGTCTCATGTGGTGTTTCTCCAGAGATGCCAATTATCGCAGTTCAATTTGGACATCATAATTTAACTCCAGACGTTTGAAGGCTGAGAGTGGTAAACCAGATTTGTCTCTAAGGGAGGTTCCACCTAATCTCCCCTTTAGAAAGATCAATAAGGTGGTCAGAATGAGCAAGGTAATTTATTGGATTTCAGGGTTCTAATGGGAAAAGTCCCTCAAGCACACTCTTTTTTGGTAAATGCTTTCATCTGATGGAAGTATTAATATTATGCAGAATCTCCTGATGAAGGAATAGAAACAGAGACAAACCTTTAAGACATCCATTTTGTGTGCGGAATTATCAGAACATCTCACCTAAACCTGAGAGATGATTCCCAGCTTTTTCTGGGTTGCATTAAAAATTAATGAAAATGACATAAAAATCAAGAATCCACAATCTACTCTCTCTACTTCCTGATCATCAAAAGAATGTATTACTGAATGACTTCTTGATTTGAGGCAACTCCTAAGGACTCTGTGGATGATGTCCAGTAGAGATAATAAGCCCCTGATCTAAAGATTGGTGATATGTTGATGTCCCCTTATTTCAGGAGTCTGCATTCATCCACACCTGGGGGTTATATGCTAGGGTGGTTTCCAGTGTTACAATGAAGCCCTTTCAGCCCCCAAAGTCCTATAACTCTATCTAAAATTAATTATGCAGTATTTTATTGCATTTTATAGATTTCTCCTTGAACGGTAGGGGGAAAAGAGGCTGCAACAGGACAGTATCACCAGAAGGTAGCAAGAGAACACCAGCCTTTCAGTTGCAACATTGTTTCATTCACTCAGCTGCATAAATATAAATGTTCATTCTGTGCATTCTCAAGAGAAGGAGAGTTAAAGCAGGAAAAATTCTGTTTGACTCCTTTGGAAAAGCGGGTTTTGTAAAGCACTGCGTTGATCTGTCACTAGTTCCTCAAAGTACTAACACATCTTCTCTTAATTTCTTCACCCACCAGAATCCAAAAAGCCAAGATGGCCTTTCTCCAAGAGAGGAGTGGTGAGTGTTGAGCAATTGTCATTTTTGTTTTAATTAAGCCTCCAGTAACTGGGAAATGAAGGAATGTCTGAAAAGCCTCTTCATCATACTTTACTTTCTTGTGACAGCAGATGGCATAGGAAGTTTAAATTATATCATCACGTTTGTAGTAGTGGATACAGAACTTGCCAAATGATGCCACTTGGTGCAGTGATACAGTGCTAATTGCCAGTGGTCAATGAGCTCTGCAAGCAAACAAAGCAGTCCTAATATTGTGATGCCTTACAGCTCCAAATTTATAACTTGACACAGCGTAGAAAACGGCTCACTTGATGAAGAAAACTTGCACAAGCGTATGCCCCAGTTTGCAGTCAGCATCGAGCATATTGGGGACATTAAAAAATTAATGAGATATTACAGACACAGATTCCACAGATACCTTCTATTTCTGGGAAAGCCAGTTGGATTAATCCTAGTGGATTTTCTTTAATTCCTGGTGCCCTCAATTATTGAAGAGTTATAAATTGAAAATCAGCGGTGCCTGATTCTTTCCTGCCTAGGACGTGAGCTGGCCACAGTGAAACCTTCCCTGCCAACATGCTGAGGACAGAGGGAAGGAGGGTTCCTCACTCCTGGAGTGAGGAGGAAGAAGAGGAACTGACTGTGTTCACCCCACGACACCTACACACCACAGCCAGCAGCACCAGGAGGGCCTGATGAGCCGCTACTGCACCTCCTTGTGTTAAAAAACAAAAGAAAAATCTGCTCACGCGGCCTCTCCAATCAGTTTGCCGTCAGTTGCTGACATCTACCTTAGAAGTTCTATGGATGCACATGCCTTGATTTTTTTTTTTTTTTTAAGTACCATAGCTAAGTTAAAGGCTCTCTGAGATTTCAATCCCAGCTGCACCACTTATTGCTCTGTGACCTTGGCCAAATGAATTCATTTCCCTCAGCTCCAAGTCCTTCCCTGTTTAAGAAAGGAAAAAAAAAAAAAAAAGATGGTTATAGTACCAGCCTCATAGGGTGGTTGTGACAAGTAAATAATGCATCTGAAGTGTATCCCAGCACTGGGTGCATCTGAAAAAAATCAGTATTGGCCATATTTTTGAGAGTATCATTTGTAACCAGGGTTTGGAACACTACTTGTTCTCATAGTCAAGTATATGAGTGACTTTCATGTTATTTTTTCAAGGGGAAAAAGTTTGTGTGAGTGTCTTAGTCACATTGGGCTGCTGTAAAATACCACAGGCCAGGTGGCTGAAACTGCTAATATTTATTTCTCACATCTCTGGAGGCTGGGAAGTCCCAGATCGGAGTGCCACATGGTTGGGTTCTGGTGAGAGATCTTTTCCTGGCTTCCAGATGGCCTGCTCCACTGTGTCTTCACATGTGGAGAGAGCTCTGTTCTCTCTTCCTCTTCTTATAAGGATACTAATGTCATCATGAGGGCCCTACCCTCATGACCTCATCTAAACCTAATTACCTCCCAACAGTTTCACCTGCAAATAACACTGAGGGGCTTGGGCTTTAAATATATGGATTTTAGGGGAACAGAAACATTCAGTCCATAGGGACACAGTCTAAACATCACAAATTGAAAATCATAAACTATTAGTAAAACTATAATTTGTCACCAGGGCTGTTGCTCACCAGTCATTCTCATTTTGCCCCTCTTTAGGGACATGATATGACTGTTTTCCTGGCAGGTCTGAGGCAGGGCCTGTGGTGCCGCCTCTCCTGGGATCCTCGCTTATTTAAATGGAAGCAGAGTCAGTTGTCAGTCAGGTCTGGGGTCTCAGCATGCATGCAGTCGTGTCCGACTCTTTGTGACCCCATGGCCTGTAGCCCACCAGGCTCCTCTGTCTATAGGATTCTCCAGGCAAGGATACTGGAGTGGGTTGCCCTTTCCTTCTCTGAGATGAGAGGAAGGGGCATTTCCCATCAGCTCTCCTGAGGGCTCCTCCAGAGCAGGAAGCTAGATTGTGCTTTCAGAAGGGAAGACTTACCTAAGGAAGGGATATACTTAAAAGTTTTTATGATCCATCTGTTTTTTTCCCATAAAGTAATTTGTTCCACATGTATTCGATAACTGTATGTGCCAAATGCTGGACTAGGTATGTAAGATGCCAAGATGCTCATTCTCAGCTTACAATTGAGAAGGTCAGACTGACATGTAAATTGGAAAAAAATTAGATAAATGGCTTGCACAATGTTGGAGGTGGGTAGGCAGAGGTGGAGATACACGAAGAACAATCAGTGAAATGACAAAATGTTTCAGTAAATGTTCTCAGTCAGTAATGGAGGGAAATTCATTTCTTAAAGGCCCACTTTTAAAGGGACACAATGTCTGGTCTCCTTAAAATTTAGTGTCTACTCCTCCATCTTTTTAGCCTTTTTTATTGAGCAATTCATATCTATATAAATGATAATCCACATCAGTATCACACACTACCATATTGTAATGTATTTCCCCAATCTCATTACCTTTCTTTCTTCTCTCCTTCCTTTCTTCCCAACCATCAGTAACAATATTTGTAATAAAAGCAAGCACATATATAATTTTTACCATGTTACCAGGTAGTGGTTCTGTTTACATATTCCTGTTTAGGTATTTCATAGTTTACATATGTTAGCTCATTAATTCTCACAACAAACTAGCAAGGTAGATAACATTATCACCCCCATTTTGCAAATGGGGAAACTGCAGTTCAGAGAGGTTTGAATAGCTTGCCTGAGATCGCACAGCTCATAAGTGACAGTGGATATGTCTCAGCAGCCCCGGGCAGTACTGCTCTGAATCTGTTTTAGCCCCCATACCAAATTGCTGCTCCAGCTGTGGGGTCTATAACCAGACCTGGGTACTCCTCCCTTCTCCTCCTCATCACAGCTCTTAAAGATCTTGTCTCTCCTCACCAATTCAAGTCAACCACTAGGAAGTTCCACATATTCACATACAGTCAACCTTCTGTGTCTATAGGTTCTGTATCCTTGAATTCAGCCAACTGCAAATAAAAAATATTTGAAAAAATACTCCAGAAATTCCCAAAAAGCAAAACTTGAATTTGCCATGCAGCAACAACAGTATACATACTATTTACATTGTGTTAGGTATAAGTAGTCTAGTGGGCTTCCCTTATAGCTCAGTTGGTAAAGAATCTGCCTGCAATGCAGGAGACCTCAATTCAATCCCTGGGTTGGGAAGATCCCCTGGAGAAGGGAAAGGTTACGCTCTCCAGTATTCTGGCCTGGAGAATTCCATGGACTGTATAGTCCATGGGGTCAGAAAGAGTCAGACACAACTGAGTGACTTTCACTTTAGAGATGATTTAAAGTATATGAGAAGATGGGTGTAGACTATATTAAAATACTTTTTATATAAGGGACTTGAGCATCTGTACATTTTGGTATCTGAAGAGGCCCTAGAACCAGTCCCCCTAGGATACTGAGGGCTGACTATAATACCAATTTATTCCAGTTCCATATCACCAGTGTCTACTACAAACTTTCATTCCACCTACTTCTTAGGTATTTTTTAATTGGAGGAAAATTGCTTTACGATGTTGTGATGGTTTCTGTAGTACAATGCTAATCAGCCATAATTGTGCATATACCTCCTCCCTCTTAAGCCTCCATCCCCTCCTCTGATCCCACCCCTCAAGATCATCACAGACCATCTGGCTGGGTAACCTGTGTTATGTAGCAGCTTCTCACCAGGTACCTATTTTAAACATGTTAGTATATATATGTCTGAGCTGCTTTCTCCATTTGTTCCACTCTCTCCGTCCCCCACTATGTCCAGAAGTCAATTATCTATATCTGCATCTCTGTTCTGCCCCGCCAATAGGTTCATCGATACCATTTTTCTAGATTCCATGTATATGTGTTAATATATGGTATTTTTTTTTCTCTTTCTGACTTCACTCTGTATAACAGGCTCTAGGTTCATCCATCTCACTAGAACTGACTCAAATTTGTTTCCTTTTATGACTGAGTAATATTCCATTGTATATACGAACCACATCTTCTTTATCCATTCATCTGTCAGTGGATATCTAGGTTGCTTCTCTGCCCTACCTGTTATAAATAGTGCTGCTATGAACTTTGGGGTATGTGTGTCTTTTTCAGTTATGATGTTCTCAGAGTATATGCCCAGTAGTGGGATTGCTGGGCCATATGGTAGTTTTAGTCCTAGTTTTCTAAGAAATTTCTATGCTGTTCTCCATACATCAGTATGAAATCTCCCATACTGTTACATATAGTGGCTATATCAATTTTCTTTCCCACCAAACAGTGCAAGAGGGTTCCCTTTTCTTGCACATCATTTCTAGCATTTACTGTTGGTAGGTTTTTGGATAATGGCCATTCTGATTGGTGTGAGGTGATACATCATTGTAGTTTCGATTTGAGTTTCTCTAGCAATTAGTGATATTCAGTGTCTTCATGTGTTTATTGGCCATCTGTATGTCTTCTTTGGAGAAATGTCTTTTAAGGTCTTCTGACTGTTTTTGATTGGGCTGGGTTTTTTTCTTCTTTTCTGATATTGCACTGTATGAGCCGCTTATATATTTTGGAGATTAATCCTTTGTCAGTTGTTTCATATACAATTATTTTCTCCCATTCTGAGTTCTGTAGTGCTCAGTCATGTCCAAATCTTGCTGACCCCATTGATGGTAGCCTGCCAGGCCCTTCTGTCCGTGGGATTCCCAGATGAGAATACTGGAGTGGGTTGCCATTTCCTTCTCTCACCTTCAGGGTTGTCTTTTAATCTTGTCTATTGTTTCCCTTGCTGTGCAAAAGCTTTTAAGTTTCATTAGGTTCCATTTGTTTGTTTTTGTTTTTATTCCCATTACTCTAGGAGGTAGGTCAAATAGAATCTTGCTGTGATTTATGTGTACTGCCTGTTTTCCTCTAAGAGCTTTATAGTTTCTAGCCTTACATTTAAGCCCTTAATCCGTTTTCAGTTTTTAGGAAGTGTTCTGTTTTCATTCTTTTACATATGTCCAGTCTTCCCAGCACCA